ATTACAAAAATACCTTTTAAAAAAATTGGAGTGTTACATCTAATAGTTGTGAGGGAGAAGCACATACTTTCACAATCTTTAATAGAGGTAATGAAGCGAATGTTAACATACAAAAAGTGAATGTAATAGTGAATGTAGTAACATTAAACAAACTAGTTCCTTTATAAAAATTAGTCTCTCTAATTTAAGAAATATAGAATTTTAGTCATTTTATCAAATTAACATGATTGTATTTTAATATTTACTCGTACATAAGTCATATGACATTTAGTAATATAATATTTAGAAATAAAAAATTAAAAAAATATAAATAAAATTTTTATTAATAAAATAAATATCAATCATTCATAAAAATAAATATAAAGAGAGATCTTTTGTATGTTATTATATATTTTTTTTAATTTTTAATCTCTATACGCCATGTCACCAAATATGACATTATTTTAAGTGGTGACAGATTATAAAAAATATTAAAATTTAACGATTAATAAACATCAAATTAATGAAAGGATCAAAATTTTATATTTTATAAAATAAAAAATAAAAAATATAATATAATTTAATTTTTTATGAGAATTTATTTTGATTGACTCGGATAACATTATTATAAAAAAAATTGTTATTCATAATATTTAAAGTTTGTACTAAGGATTGAAGTTCAAAAGTTTGCAAATTATTAAACTATTTGATGATAATTTTAAATGTTCTTTGCTAGTAGTGAAAATATCTATTTATTTAAAAGCAATGCCTTTTGTTTACTGAAGCATATGACTACATGACTGGTTTTAGAATTTTCAAAGTTCAATTGCCAATTGAATCTCACATGCAATCTTTGTGAAGTATTGGAGAAAATATTTGTACAAGTTTAGATTATATTATCATTCATTTCATCATTCACATGATTAAATCCGAACCAGTCATTTTTTATCCTACTAAATCAATGGTTAATAACAGCATCAATTTTTATAATTTATGTAGCTTAAAATGAATGAAAATAAAAGTGGGAGTGCAAAGAAAAGAAGCAAATGAGAACCTTTTCTTTTTCTTTTGTTTTTGGGTCTTTAAACTCTTTATAGTTTATTCTTATCGTGTCTTTTTCTTTTCTTTTCACACGTCGATGCTTTTCTTCCCAACTCGAAGATGCTTTTCAGTTTTCACGCTTCTGTTCACTGTTTAACCCGTTTCATTGGTATGCCTTAAGGGGTTTTCACAGTCTTTTTTTTTTTTTTTAGAAACTCTGAAAGTTACAAATTAATGAATTATCCATCAATAAAGTCTTTGGGTTATCGCAAATCAAATCCTACGTCCATGTGAGAAATGAGTTCAATCTTATTAACTAAGGATTCAATTTTATTTTTTTTTGAGAGTTTGATAGAATTTTTGCTTTAAATTTTTGAAATGCAAGTTGTTGCTGTTGTTGTTATGATATTATTATTAATGGGTCGTTGTACAGAAACTGGACTACAGTAGTAGCGTTGTTCAAAATGAGTGAAGTTATGTTAACCTTTGAATTGACTTTATTACACAAGTTTTGTTATAAGCACTATAAGTTAAATTTAAGAGATTTATTTAATAATTTTTTTTATAAAATTTAATTATTGAAATAAGTTATAAAAACATAACAAATAATCATAAACCATTTACATAAGTTTAAATAAATTCCATTAAAGTTCTTTTACATTCCTTGAATAATTTTTTACGGAAAAATATTTTCTTACAAAAAAAAAAGAGTAAGTTTAAGACATTCTAACTTTGTCATGCAGTATTTTGCAAAGGTTTTGTTCTCGAATACCAAATGATAGGTAGTGGTCTTAGTGGATATGAATAATTCGTAAACTCGAACGGATTTAAATCGATTAAATGAATTTTAGTCGAATCAACGACAATAATAATAAATTAGAGTGTTCACTTGTTTAAAATAATATTCTTTGTCACTCTTGTTCAATAGTAAGTATCATGTTTTTAGGTTGATAATATTATAACAATACAACATATTTATTTTAAAATTTATTTTGTATTAATGTTAATTGTTTAAGTTGATAAATATAGTAAATCAATAAGTTTATTTTAAAATTTAGTTTATATTGTTATTTTTTTTATCCGTTGATAAAATTGCATTTATAATAATGATTTATATTTGTTATAAAATATTCAAATTTTTATAAAAATAAATGTATTTAATTTTGTTAATTTAATTAACTCAATCTAATCTAACCTGTTGAGTTTGTTAAATTTTTTATATAAAAAAATATAGAAATTCAACCTAATACGATTCAATCCGTTAAATTTTTATCAAATCAAATAATAAATTAATCCAAATCCAACTCAATGTAAGCCTTTTATACCCCTTGACAGGGTTTCACTATTTTGTGGGCTCAAATCAACTTTAGCGGGTAACGTGGTTAAACTTAAAGATGTTCGTAGGTTCTTATTTATGAGACATGTACTTAGTTATGGGAACCTTTCAAACCTACTTATTAGATATGCCTAATTTCTGCTACAATGGTGCATCTCTTTGGTCGTAGCAAGGGAATAGATGCTTATCTTTCAGTTCACAAAAAAACAATGGTTATACTGGACCTTGTTGGTAAAGGTACGTAAGAAATTGTATCAATTATTTTGTGTTATTAAATTGCCTTTTCTACTTATGATTCAGAAAATTTGATGCTGTAGGTAACACCAGAAAAATAAATTTGTACAGTATGGTCTGAACCATTACTAGGCCCAACAAAACACCCAGTTATTCAGCCCAACACATGAGTAGTATTAGTATATCCTTTAGATTTGCATTCCAACCCAGAACACTCCGGTCACACCTATATGACACTTAGGCGATCAACTCTCACTTAACCTTACATTACATTCTTCTTTTAGGTACGTTTTCTTCTTTCAACTCTACACTTTCTTATTCAGCAAATATTTACTCCGACATCAAAATACTTGCAGGTGACTATTCTCATTGAACACTGAATAACCATTGCCATTTCTGCGCCTCTCTTTACTTTCACCCTCTGTTTTAGCAAAAACAGAGTACATTTTTCCTGCTTACCGTATTCAGCATCTAGAGCGCTATGCATATTTGTTAACAAAACAAAACATTCTATCTTCAACACACCCAGAAGGAATGAGAGAAAAAAAATATAAAATCCCCTACTATTAAATTTTTGAGACTATTTTTAGGACTTGAGAGGGAAAAAATGCAATGTTAACTTAATACATTTTTTCATTCTATTTGCTTGGATGTATAAAAACCCTCCAAATTTGGAGAATTTTAAAATGTACATATGAAGAATTTGTAAGACCAAATGATAATCCCTAATGCTGAGAAACCTCCTAAAATTAAAATGATTACATAACCTCTCGTTTTTTTCACATTCATCAAAATATATAATTAAGTAAAATGAATGCCATATAAAAATCCACCTTTCACTCACTAAAGCCAGTCACAAATCCCAAATTATTATTGTAGCAAATTATTATCATTTTCTTCCTATGATAATTCTGGTATATTAAATTATTAACATCAGATGAAAAAAAAACTACAAAATTTCCACCAGCATGTTGCTTGAATTGAATCGAAGTTCCCTGCAGCCGAACTACAGTCGCAAAAAGTTACTAAATTCACTGAAACACTTCCAAAATGGCCCCAAAAAAAGCTGTTTATGAGAAGTCTTAAACCTTACGATCAAGGCAAATGAGTTTTGTGCTGTGCTAGGTGTTTATTTTCAGGCAACCTTGGTCACAGGGTCTCTAGTATGTCATAGTGACCATACCCATGAAACAGCACATCGATGGAAATCTCCTTTTGGTTCCTATATTCTTCGCCATATTTTGCTATGTTTACCAAATCAAGCGAGCCTGTGTCTCTCATGAAAACAGATATCGGTGTCCTGACAAGTTATGAAGCTGTGTTAGATACAGAGCAATGTGAAAATTGAAAAGAAAATAATCAACACCAAAGCAGACATACAGTTATGATCACATAAAATGAACTAGAGATTTGTTTCTAAAAAGCAATTTAAGCTTTAACATTGCGATCAGGGTTTTCATTCTATGATTCAAGTGTATATATATATATCCATCAATTCTCCATCTTTTCCAGCTCCTTTAACATGTAACACATGTTTAAAAGGTTAATCGACTTACTTCTTATAATACATTCATCGTTATAACAATTTGAACTTTCACATTGTGAATGGTAATTCGAGTTTATGTAGACGACAACGCTGCTTCACAGCCTGTAACTGTATTCGCAATAAATGCGTTTCTTTATCTTTTCCCTCTTTCAAACAAAAAGTTATTAAATGATCTTGGGTCACATAGTCTCTAACTACTTTCTGTATGATATAATCAAGTGTTATTAAAATTTTTTAGTAAATTAAAAAACTTAAATGTAAGTCATATAGTGATTGACTAAGACCATAGATACTCTATGGCCCAAGATTATCTAATAATTTCTCCAAATGAAATATACATGATAACTCCCCCAACTTAGTAGATGTTAAGACAACAATTCAAATGTGCTAAAACTAATAATTAATATACATCAACAAACATTTAATGCCTCTCGTCAAATGAATGGAAGTTAAAACTATAAAACAACCATAAGCAACACATAAATTCAATTCTAAAACTCACTTCAAAACATGAGAAGCCATCAACAGCTCTGGTTCTCCACCCCATACATAAGGTTGTTGAATTCTCTTCACATAAGTATCAAAATCACCTTCTATAAACCTATAGATACACGAGACATAACAGATAACCAAGTCAAGAAAAGCACAACCAAAAAGAATTGTATATCTTCAAATTACCAAGCTTACCACTCTGTTTCCTCCCGCCGTTTAAGCAGCTCATCTACTACCTAAATTGGCACATAAAAGATTGTTAAAAAAATGGAAATAACATAAAACATGTTCTCTTTTTTGCTTTTTAGAGCACAATGATCATACTTTTGCTCTTAATTCATCAGCCAATTCCCTCTGACGATTCTCATCAGGTGCTTTTTCTCCATTTCTCAAGCAAGCTCCATGAGCTATTGCTCTAAACAAACACCGTCCATCAGCAGGCACTCCTGCACCATTCAAACCAATCCAGAGATTAATTCATACACAATTTATAACTCTTTTTATTTTTTTTATTTTTTTTATTTTTATCTCCAAGCTAAACAAAACATTACCAACACACCAAAAACGGCACCAATTCAAAAACCTTTTAATTTCTTCATCCTGCTTATTTGGCTACCGAAAGACCATCAATAAGAACAATTTTTAATCTAAAAAGAAAAAAAAAACGCTAATCCTATCAAAACAAAATTAGCACAAAATATCATGAAGGACAAACTTAAGAAATACAATTCCTTAAGTATGATTATCAAAATTGAAGTGATACCTCAGTAATATATATAAATATATATTAATAAACTCTGCATTAAATATAAATACATACAAGACTCTATCTAAGTTTTGTCGTATCATGAAACTTAAAACCGAGCAAAATCAACTAATTTCTGCTCTGTAAAAACAATTTCATTTTCCATAAAGTGGTTAAAAAAGCGTTTCTCCACCGAATGCAAAAACAAAAGCATCATTCACCTTTACATAAATCACACCTTTCTATAAACACGAAAACCATATATTACATGCAATTTCATCCAACTAAACAACCTAACGTTACATATTATAGATAAATAAAAATAAAGAAAAAATAACAAACCAGTGATTCTATAATCGGCAGAAACCTCATCCTCCACTTTCCCATCGAGAGGAAGGCGAGGACCGCAAGTCTCGTCCGGCGAAAACGCGTCGGCGTCGGCGTCGGCGCAGGCAGGCGGCGCGAGGCAGGCGCAGACGCCGAAGAGGAGCCAGGCCGAATCGGAGCGGTGGAGCCAGCGCGCCGGTCTGGCGTCCCAGGCGACATTCCACGATCCCTCTCCCTTGGGATCATGAACGGCGAGGCGGAATCCGTGGGCGCCACGTGGCCTGATGGCGTGCCATATGGAGGCGGCGCCGCCGGCGTGGGCGAGGAGCTTGCAGGCGGTGGAGTGGTGGCGACGCGGGGGCGAGGCGGAGAGGGAGAGGGAGAGGGAGAGGGAGAGGGAGGCGGCGGCGAGGCGAGGGAGGGAGGCGTGGACGAGGGAGAGGAGCCAAGGCTTGGGGCGAGTGGCGCAGAGTACTCCGAGCATGGGTGAGGCGAGGGCTATCGTGCGCCGTGGTTGGTGTTATCCTACGCAGCCGCGCACGTAGTACTAGTAGGTTCGATGTGTGACGCCATGGCAATTACAATACAACAACTCACAGCAGTAGTGTGGTCTGCGGTCTGTGGTCTGTGGTGCGGACGCAGTGTTGGAATCATCACCTTTTAAACGTACACATGCCCCCCCTGGGTGGGCCCCCCTCTCCTCCTTTCTTCTTTCTTCCAACCAAACCCCCTTCTTCTTTTTTTTTTTTTTTTTTTTAATTATCCTAGTTCACCATACGAATATTCCTTTTGCTGCCTCTAGTTAGTTTCTTGCCATTTTAGCACAAAACATAAAATGTATTATTATTCTTTATCATTTTGTATCTTTAAGAAACTTGTTTTCTAGGTACACTATGTGTGTACATGTATATGTGTAAGAGTAGCACAAGCATACTTAAAAAATTAGAAATCAAGAAAGAAAAAACCAAATTTCATTAATTAAGAATGCTATGTGTGTGCAGTTTATAAAAGATTTTACGTTCATGTTATAATCTCGTTACCAACGTATACCAAAAGAATGTATGTTTCTATTCCTAAGGTTAATATAGTAATTTTAGTATTGGTGGGGTCGGCAGCAAAGAAGGTATCGACACTCTGGACTTTGAACCCAACTTCAACAATTTAAAAATTTGATCCCAATCCAAGTGATTTTTTCATTAAAGTTGTGGAAAATTCGAGTGAATACCCCTGAAACAAGTACATTTGTCATGCATAAACAATAAGAATAGAGACTAAAAAAATAAAAACTCAACATGAGTGATGTTTTATAATTTAAAAATAATTGGTCTAGCGTATCTCATGATTTATTAAAGGCCATTTTTTCGGTCTTATCATATTTTTTAATATATACTTTTTGAGTATGGAACTGATTTTTTATTTTTATTTTGTTTAGTAGAGACGTACAATTTAGTTATATATCTTTTTTTATTATATTAATTTATCTCCCACTTTCCTAGTTCCTACAATAGGTAACACGTTATTACGACAAATATTAATTAGCTTAATTGACTAAGCAAATATTGAATAATTAGTCATGCTTCGTCAACGATTGGTGTGCATATCTTTGGTGGATGAAACATCTACGTGGAAGATTTTGAACAACTATTTTGAAAACAAAAGATAACAAACCAAAATCGATTTTAGTTCATTGTGGAGTTTGGGCACTACCATTACAATTGAATCATTAGCCTTCAAATTTCAATACTTAAATTGTTACATAATTATGTTGTCACAATTCTCTATGCTTTCCTTATTAAACACCTCAAACTAAAATGAACATTTATATCAAAATTTGAAGAGGTGTAACTTATTTTTAAAACTATTTTCCTGCACTCCCTTGTTCTCCACGTATTTTTCTTATTTTCTTGTTGGCTTTTGAGCTTGAGCCTTGAGGTTTATCTCCCTCTCCTAATAAAGACATTTTCTTCCAAATTTATAGAATTTTCACTGACGTCATTGTCTTCCAATAGAATTCTTTTTTAGACAAAAGCAGAAATTGTTGGTATTGTTTGATTTGTAGTTGGCATTTGTAAGTTTGTAATGACATAACATGTTACTTGTTCCTTCCACTTGGTCTAGGGCATCAACATGAACTTGCTAGTCCTAAAGAGTCGTGCAAGCAACATTAATTTCACTTTGGCCTCCTAATATTTTCATAACCATACTTTTATGAGCATACAAACTTAATTTTTTTAAAAAGATTTTTAAGAATTTTTCTACTAAAAATAATAAAAATAATAGAGAAATTTTAAAAAATATTCATCAATTGTATCATACTCGTCTTTATCAAGTAAACTTACAAATTTTGTAAAACTAGAAGATGAAAATATGTGGAATCAAAATTATAAAGCGATCATTCAAGAACCTGTGACTATTAATGTAGCTCAAACTACTTCCGTTGCAAATGGAGCTCCAAATGTGAATTTAGCATTTCAGCAACCACAAATGCCAAATTCACAGCCCAACACCTTTCAACATTCCTCTTTTCCTTCACAAGGTGGATTCAATATCTTTTCTGGTCAGAATCGTGATGGAGGTTGTGGTCGAGGTGGTGCACGTGGTGGCAGAAATCGTTCATCTGTTCAGTGTCAAATTTGTCACAAACGAGGACATGAGGCGTCTACTTGTTACCAACGAACCAATGGGCTGCCATTTGCTGGATATGGGATGCCTTTTGGTTCAATGTTTTCCTCTTATCCTACTGCTGGTTTTGGCTCTCAGAATGGTTACGGGACTCAGAACTTTGGCTTCAGCCCATCCTTTCTTCCCAATCCTGGTCCTGTTCCTTATTCTGGGTCTGTTAACATGTCTGGAGCATCAGGATTGGCACAGTGGCCTACCCCTATGATGAATGGTCCTTTTGGGTCCACTTTATCTGGTCTTGGTTTTTCTCCACCTGGCTTCATTTTTCCTGCACCCTATTCCAACCAGCCAGCACATCAGAGTACTGCCTCTTCTACTCAACGCCCTGTTCCCACTCTAAATACTGCTACAGCTTGGATTCCTGATTCAGGAGCTTCTCATCATGCCACTGCTGATCCACAAAACCTTCTACAAAGTGCTCAGTTTACAGGGGCAGAGCATATTGTCATGGCCAATGGCCAAGGTACATCCATTACCTCAATTGGTTCTAATATGTTTAGGTCCCCTGTTTGTCCCTCCACCTTTTTGTCACTAAAAGACCTTTTGCTTGTTCCCACCTTATCCAAAAATTTAATGAGTGTCTCCAAGTTTGCTAAAGACAATAATGTCTATTTTGTTTTCAATCGTCATTCCTGTTTTGTCAAATCACAGGATTTGAACGAGACACTTCTTGAAGGCAAACTAAGAAGGTTGGGAAGGAAGTCTATGAGATTTTGCAATACAACAAGAGTCACAAAAATCTGAAATTTTATTAACAGTAGGAATGTGAATGTTACAAATTTTTAAGGCCTTAGTTAGAGCATCATGATGCGGATGCCCTAACCGCAAGTGCCACTGTCTATATGCACTAGGAACAGTGTTTGTACAAGTTGTAGAAAGAAAAGTACAAGGTTCAGGCAAAACAGAAATTGAATTCTTCTTGTGAGCAACTTTGATTATTTCATTCTTCATCAAGGATGGATGAAAACGGTAGAGACCATCTTCTCCAAGTTTGCCTTCAAGAAGTGTCTCGTTCAAATCCTGTGATTTGACAAAACAGGAATGACGATTGAAAACAAAATAGACATTATTGTCTTTAGCAAACTTGGAGACACTCATTAAATTTTTGGATAAGGTGGGAACAAGCAAAAGGTCTTTTAGTGACAAAAAGGTGGAGGGACAAACAGGGGACCTAAACATATTAGAACCAATTGAGGTAATGGATGTACCTTGGCCATTGGCCATGACAATATGCTCTGCCCCTGTAAACTGAGCACTTTGTAGAAGGTTTTGTGGATCAGCAGTGGCATGATGAGAAGCTCCTGAATCAGGAATCCAAGCTGTAGCAGTATTTAGAGTGGGAACAGGGCGTTGAGTAGAAGAGGCAGTACTCTGATGTGCTGGCTGGTTGGAATAGGGTGCAGGAAAAATGAAGCCAGGTGGAGAAAAACCAAGACCAGATAAAGTGGACCCAAAAGGACCATTCATCATAGGGGTAGGCCACTGTGCCAATCCTGATGCTCCAGACATGTTAACAGACCCAGAATAAGGAATAGGACCAGGATTGGGAAGAAAGGATGGGCTGAAGCCAAAGTTCTGAGTCCCGTAACCATTCTGAGAGCCAAAACCAGCAGTAGGATAAGAGGAAAACATTGAACCAAAAGGCATCCCATATCCAGCAAATGGCAGCCCATTGGTTCGTTGGTAACAAGTAGACGCCTCATGTCCTCGTTTGTGACAAATTTGACACTGAACAGATGAACGATTTCTGCCACCACGTGCACCACCTCGACCACAACCTCCATCACGATTCTGACCAGAAAAGATATTGAATCCACCTTGTGAAGGAAAAGAGGAATGTTGAAAGGTGTTGGGCTGTGAATTTGGCATTTGTGGTTGCTGAAATGCTAAATTCACATTTGGAGCTCCATTTGCAACGGAAGTAGTTTGAGCTACATTAATAGTCACAGGTTCTTGAATGATCGCCGTTCTAGCCTGTTCTAGTCGTGCTTCTTGAGAAAGAATCATGGTTTCAAGTTCAGCAGGAGAAAGAACATCATCACGACTAACAAAGGCAGTGATTGTGGAGATGAGTGAATCATATTCAGGTGGAAGGCCTCCAATGATACATTCAGCATGTTCTCTAGTGGACACAGGACTTCTAATGGAAGCAAGAATCTCAACAATAGTATTGATGCGAAGCAAATAGTCAGAGCAAGTCCTTGTGCCCTTCTTTATAGTGCAAAGTTCCAAACGAAGTTGTGTAGCCTTGATTTTGGTAAGAGAGTGAAAATGTTGAAAAACCATATCCCAAATCTGATATGAATGGCGGCACACGACACGCGCTTGAATCGAATATGAAAGTGTGGTTAGAAGCCAGGAGAACAGAAGTGAGTCCTTGCGATCCCATGTAGGGTACTCAGGATTCACAGAATTTTCATCACGATCCTCACTGGTGAGATACTTCATCGGAATCTTTGGATTGACAACAAAACGCTCAAGATCATGAGCACGAATGACAGCAATGACCTGTTGAGAGAAGGTATTATTGATACTAGCAGAAGCTTGAGTGGAGGTTGCAGAAGCGGAAGCCATGGAAATTGATTTCAAGAATCAAATGAAAGGACGGAGAAAACAACACCAAACACGACGACGAGAGAATTGCTGCGATGAAGAAGACGACAGAGGCGCAACTTGACGGCGTAAGAAAGCAACAACAAACACACAACGCAGTGACGAGAGAAAACAACGACGAAAACAAAAGCAAACGTTTTGTCGAGAGAACACGACAACAAGAGATGCAACGCGACAGCGAAAGAAATGCACAACACGAAGGCGCGACACGGAGGCGCAAAGCGGAGGTGCAACACACGCTCCGTCAAGAAACAGCAACGGCGAAGAGATGCGAAAGAAACGCACAACACTGAAGGCGCGACACAGAGGCACAACACAGCGACGCAACACGGCAGCGCGAGAAAACAGCGACAAGAAGAGCGCAAGAGAAACGGGAAGAAATCCAAGATCGCACCGAGCTCACGATGATACCATATAGGAGAAATAGAAGAAACTGAATATTTGAAGTGAATATTATTGAAAAGGTAAACTGCACATTGTGCGGTATGGTTACATTTATAGAGAATTACAACAAAGAGAATAACCAAGCCTAAACAGAAAAACTAACTCAATACAACTAATAAAAGTATTTATTATTTATTCTCTAATATTTCTTAATGTATTCATTCTGGAATGGTGCTTTTGCACTTACTATAAACTTTTTGATCTTCAGCATGCAAGTTTCTTTTTTATTTTTTGGTAAAATGGTAGGTACATACCATCCATTTCTAATGTATATACTATCTAAACTCCTTATCACTGGATTTAAGGTCGGATTTTGGTCTTGGAGTTTTCAACAGTCATTCATTAAAGCATGGTTTGCATGTAGAGCAATTCCATTTCTTCTTGCTGACTGTATTTAGGATTCTATTAACTTAATTAAAAGTTTTTTCTTTTATACAAAAATTAAGGAGGTACATACATTGAGGTGTGGTATTTGATTATGAAAAATATTCTAACATGTTTGGCATACAAAAATGTTGTAACATGTTTGGGATCTAATGTTGATTATGAAAATCTTTCAGAGACGTGTGGTATTTGATGCACTACATAGGTGTACAAAGCCATCAAGACTATGGGATCTTTATGCTTTTGCAGCAGGACCTTCTAGGTTTCAGAACACTTCTCCACTGGTTCGCTTATTGGATGAATATTTTCGGCTTCTTTGCCTAGATTCTTATCGTGCATCAATCGATATAATTGAAAATGGGTCCTTCACCTTGTCAAATGACCTATGGAGAATAAGTGGCGTGAATGCCAATTATGCAATGTGCCAGAGTTATCCATTTGCTTTGGTCGTTCCAAAAATCATTAGGTAATTTATTGAGGCCAAACTTTCCGCTTTTACAGTAGTTGTGACTTTTGTCTATTATATTAATGGTTGAGACTGGTGAATCATTATTTGTTTCATTGCATTGTCTTCATACTAGTGACGATGAAGTGCTCCAGGCTTGCAGCTTCCGGGCAAGATGTCGACTACCTGTAGTTTCATGGTGTCATCCTTGTATGTGTAGAATCTAGGTTTCATTTCTTTAATTAGTAGCACCTTTCTATGTTTCTTATTTTTAATTTCTTTCACTTCTGTCTTTTGCATTTTATTATTGTAATATGAGGATGATTTTCTAACTAAATGGAACTGATGACTATAGTGACTGGAGCAGTTGTTGCACGATCTTCTCAACCCTTAGTTGGTCTTATGATGAATATGAGGAGGTAATGCTAACTATTTCATCAAATATATTCTCTTTATAAGATTGAGAATTTGAGAGAAAAGATAAATAGAACTTCTGAAATTTTGCACAACTGACTCTGTTTAGTTAATGTGTTTTCTTTTGTATGGTGACTTCTTTGAATAAGTTCTTTTGTAAGAAATGAAATATTGAAATGAACAAAATACTGACAAGTTTTTTCATGTATTTTCCTGCAGCAATCTGGATGAAAAACTTGTGGCTGCCCTTTGCAGCAAACTAGAGAATGGCTCGAGAAGGTAAGATTTGTATGTTAATGTTATACTCTTGTATTGTGGTATGTCATATGTGGAAATGTGTAGATGCCCATTTTACCTTTTGTTGAATTTGAACTTAATTATGAAGAATGGGTGGTGCGGATTGAATTCTGCATCATTTGTTTGTAGTGGTTTATATCATACCAAGGATTAGGATGGCATTTCCGGATCATTTTTTCCTGGGGTATCTCTGACATTGTAAAATAAATAATAATACATTCTTAAAATATTTCAAAAATTATAAAAAAAGAATATATTAAATTATATTAAAAATATAAAGATATTTATATATTGATTAAGAAGATGACTAGAGTCATTTTCATTTGTGTATATATAATGCTATCCTCAGGCAGTTATGTATCTGTTTTTTTAGGGGGGGGGG